AAGAACCAGTTAACTAATTTGAGGAGATTAGGGAAATAAGTTAAGTTAGTTATTTGTCCTAAACAGGTGTTGTTTTTCCTAAAATACCCTTGCTCATCAAGTGTATTGACTAGAACTATAATTATTAGAAGGACTATTTTGGAAAAAATTGAGTAAATATGAGAGACAAAGTGGATTAGGATCTTATATTTAGGACCAAAATAAAAATTAAATAGGGTCTTATATTAAGAACCGGAGGTAGTACTAACATTAGCATCATCAAATAATTTAAAATCAAGTTATTTGATTTATATACATTTTCATATTATTATGTTTTAAAACCAAATTATTTAATAAAAATATTGTTTTAAGATAAAAAATAAAAAGTAAATAACTTTTTAAATATAATAAAGGAAAATAAATATAGAGATGAAGAAAGAAGAGGGGCAATCATAGAAATTTTGTTTTCCTACCCAAATTTCTCCATATGTGAAAAGAAAATTTAGAGAGAAAATAAGACATGGAGTTCACCTTATTTTCTCTTCTACTTTTTCTTCTTCTCACATTTTTTCCCCTATCTAAACGAAAAAAATCTTGTATTTCCTCATTTTTTTCTATAATTTTCTCTGGATGTAAAAAAGGGATAATGATAATATGATGACAATTAATTAATTAATTAATTAAAATAAATGTGAAAACATTCACGTTGAATTGTCCTTCAAATTTATATATACGTTTTTAAGTTATCATATTAATCACACATATAAAAACAAATTTTTATTAATTTGACTAATTTTTTTTAATATTCATAAACTTATTATTTAGTCCGCAAGGAAGTACTTGACTATTTTCTATCGCCTGAGCAAGGGTTGACTCTGGGAACGGCGACTGACATTAACATTATCCGAATTCGATGTAATAGTTACTGAGGCTCCGGTCCTTGTCAGCCCATTAACAACATTCCCCAGGGGACACAACAGACTAATGAGGTGTTTGAATAGAAACCAAACTATAGTTTTAAAAGTACTTTTACGATTTACGAAGTAAATATATAGAAGAGTTTGTCTCGTTTTGTGAAAAAGTGCTTCTGAGAAGCACTTTTCAATATTGTCAAACACCTCCTAAATGAGTGTTTGGTAACAAGAGAAACTGAAAAACACTTTTCTTGCAAAACAAAACTCAAAATATTTACTCTTTCGATTCTTGATATAAGATCCTATTTGATTTTTATTTTGACCCTAAATATAAGATCCCAATCCACTTTGTCTCTGACATTTATCAACTTTTTTCAAGATAGTCCTTCTAATAATGGTAGTTCTAAATAATAAACTTGATTAGCAAAGATATTTTAGAAAAAACAACATCTATTCGTTATAAATAACTGACTTAACTAAGTTTTTTAATCTCCTCAAATTAATTACCTGGGTCTTATAATTAGAATCGGAGATAATATATCTTAAAAATATTTTTAAAACTATAATTTAGTTTCTATTCAAGTTTCATTCAAACATCTCCTAAATTAAATCACACCCTCTCGAGAATGTCAAGGTTACCCGAACAAGCTCCAGTTTCACTAAAACTCAACACGTCTGCTTTTGAAGTAACCAACATTTAAATTGAGAAAGTGTCTAGGTTAAAAACAAATTTACGGGATGCAAAATAAATACGTAAAAAATATTTTGGAAAAACCAAGCACCCCCAAAACTAAACATCATCAGACCACTTCTCTATGCGGCTTAAGAACTATTCCGCCAGTACCCTCTTCCATATAAAATTGCATTATAGATCTGCAGTTTATCCCCCAAGCAAGTAACGTTATTTACAAATTATAAATGGTACAGTTTCTCATACATAGTACGTTACATTTTATATTACTTGACAATATATGGATCTAACAAGTCATACCAGCAACTTAATTCTTCAGATTTCATGCAACACGTGACATCACATCTAGTTGCAATTTGGAACCCAACACTACCAGACTTGATCAACCATGCAAGTTTGAGAACTTCCAATGTCAAACATGAATGGAACGTAAAGGAGCAGTAAATAATGTTGCATCGTTGACAATGCTACCAGATAAACTATTCGTTAAATGAGTTGTTATATCATACTATAATTCAAAGAAGAAGAAAAATTGGCAAGCATGTTCCTCTGATAATTTATGTTTGACAGCCGGTAATAATTGCATTCATATTCCTTTCCCATGCGCAAACTGTATATATAGCCACCCAACCCAGAGGAAAATAACCTATTAGTGTGAGCAGAATGATCTCCCTGCTTTCAAAAATATCGGAATTGACCAATAAAGGAAAACCCTAAAACTGTTCGGGGAAAATGCAATTTTAATCTTCAAGCTCGATAATCTTCACCACAGATGCATCACCCACTTTTTGGCAAACAACCACGCGATCATGCGACTTTATAACTCCAGCTGCTTTTCCATGATCAAGAGCAATCTTAAGGATTGATTCATTTGTTGCACTTGTTGATTCCGCCTGCAGGCGTAGAGTTTTCAGATCAAAACGATTAATGCCACGCTGCTCAAAAAGCAGCATGCAGTCATCGGTTTGGTGATTTATGCCGATAACTACAGAACAAAGCAATAACATGCAGGAGGAAGGTTATGTTCCACCAACATGGCAATCAGTTGCATTATAAGACTTAACCGTGGAAGCGACCATAAATAAAATAGTTCATCCAAACTTATCCTGATTCTCCGTTATTAATTTATACTTCAAATAACAATTAGTACACAATCCTTAGTCTACCTCTTCCTCACCATGACCTAAGCTCAACAAAATACCAGACAGGATTTTCACCAACCAAAAAAAAAAGAAGAAGAAGAAGAAGAGAGGCAAGAATAATCTCATGAAACAACTAATAAAAATACCAATCCATTGAAAACAGTATCTTACAGGATGTCGAGGATCAGCAAGCATCGGAAAGAGACCTCTTACAATAAGGGACTGCCTTGCCTGCGCCACACATGTAATTATTTTTAAGTTTGGATGATGGATGACCCAAAACAAATAAACAAAATACATCAATAATATGATAACTCAATGGAACGAGCAAGTGTTAAAAATCATGCCAATAAATCATATCATCTTCTGAAGTTCAATAAAATCATTGCTGATTTTCCGTATGAGGAAAAAAGATATGAAAACACCTCCCAGTACGGCAAAATTCAGGGAATAGCAGTATTGTGAAACCTTTGATAAATGACAGATGGTTAGGAGTCTATCATTTTCATTATCATAACTTTATCTTATAATTAACCTCTACTAGAGTAGAGCCATAATTCACAAGGCTCAAAATTACTCCTGAACCACAAAGAAAAAGAGAGAAAAAAGAACCAGTTGTTCTTATTTAAATGTAAGAAGCGTGATGAGAATTCAGTTAGGGGGGAAAATCTTAGTTCCTAGCACCTACTTGAGTGAGTGTATATCGATATCATTATTAACATCATAAGCTCATGGCGATCCTTTTGTGGGAAGCTTATTAGCTACTGTTGATAGAAAAACTAATCTGTCAAAAGGACAGAGAGACGTAGGTCGCACATATTGACAGTTAAAAGAAAATTAGCTAAAGTAGATTCATAAGTCAGGAAATTACCTCAAAAGCTCCACTAAAGCTCCACTTAAGCTGGTTGGTCTTGAGTCGTGGGATCACAACAGAGAGTACTGGCATTGTTGGCCTATACTTTGCAATCAATCTGAGAAGCATATACCACATGTTTGGAAGTCATAAAACGTTCGGAAATAGGTGGAGATGTCAAAAGGGGTAAAAATATATGTTATATTAATATAATGGATGTGTGTTGATTCCCCATTTAAAGGAGTTAGCCAATATCAATAACAATATGAACAGTCTAATCGAATAATTCACTGTAGAAGTACCTCGCAGCCCTTCCAGATGAAGTGAAGCAAATAATGACAGAGGCCTTCACCTTAATAGCAGCCCGTACCTAAGTAGATAAATAGTTATATATAAATAAGAAGCCTCCTTTCAATAATGCAAGAATATTGACAACCAAGCAAAATCAACATAGAATTAACCTACGTTCTTGACAAATAATAAAATACGCACCATTAAAAGTAATGAAATAAAGAGCAGCAAGAAAATGTATATACCGCAGATGATGCAATAGATTCCAAGTGGGTCATCGGTTCTCCAACATATTTGACAGTCTTCTTAAAATAAAGGTCTTGATTGAAAACTTTCTCAGCCTAAATAATGCAGATAGCAACAGGAAAATGAAACCGCAGGAAAATATCAGCTAACATGATAAATAACAATTCAAATAACATTTGATATGATTCAAAGAAATTCCCAGCCGATGATTTCCATTTTACAGGGGTAATGCCATATCCACGATGAGAGCCAACGCAATCCCTCAAACGTGATGCCAAAAAGAAGCAAGGAAGAAACCAATAAACCAGATAAAAATAAGCATAAATAAATAAATAAAAGTTCTTTCTTATCTTGGAATAAATTCATCACACAATTCATATTACAACCAGAACTTAAAAAGGATTTTGAGTACTACAAGTACAAACCAATTTGCACATATGGAATCTTCAAGTCAACTTAGCGAATTCTCATTCCGACTTCTTAACATGAAAAGCAAATTACTTTCATATAAACTAATGTCATTAGACCTCTAAATGAAGTGTTGTACTGGTACCTCTCTACCACACACTGATTCCCATATAATGTAAGTCATCTAAGAATTTCTTTAAAGGAGCTACCATCCAGTGATACCAATTTTAAGGGCCCACCAGCGTATTTTACTTATATATGGTTATTACCTGAAATTTGTCCACTTATCACTAAGCTTAGTTAGTATGCACCCTTTATGAGTTATATCCCGTCAAAGGAGAAGCAACATTATATCAGAATATTGATTAACTTCAGTCATGAAACTGAAAAATACTAGTATTCTACATTACATCAGAAACAATGGGTATGAAAGCAAACTTGCAATGATTCTTCAGAAGGTGTAGTAGTTGAACGAGTTCATACTATTTTCAATCTATAATATTCCATAAGTATGGTCTGGTCTGGTCCATTTATGTATTAATTTTTCAAAACAATAAAAGAAGGGGCTCCAGAGCATCAAAACAAAAGAATGTGTGTATTAAACTGGAGGACCGTCAAGCATGAGCTCATAATCCAACATAAAAAAGAAGAAAAACTGATGTTTGATCACAACAATCAAGCTCTACCTACCATTACGACCGAACGAACTGCATATAGATCAAAGTCCAAAGCAACAAACATAACAAGTGAACTATAAAAAGAACTTACCTCAGCACAAATTTTTCCAACAGTAGAAATAGTCTCAACAGGGTATAAACCACGCAAAGTCTCAGCACCCAGAAGTATTGCGTCACTGCCTGCATTTGTTGAACAAAATAAAATATTTTGAATTTGTTCTAAATAAATAACAATGTATATGCACTGATGCAAGGACTAGATCATAAAAAAAGAATGAAATCTGGAAAATACAAGATCAATGTTTCCTAATGTCATAACAATCACGTATAGTAGGCTATTGGACAACATGCAAAACAAATATGCAGAACACTGAAATAAAGATGGGAAAAGTGAATGAACCCAAGAAAATTTTCCTATCTGTTAGCACCTACCAGTTTAGTTGATAACACACAAACTAGCGTCAACAGAACAGCATGGTAACATCACCTCAACAAGGAATATCACGACAAGAGGCTTACCATCTAAAACAGCATTGGCAACATCAGTGGCTTCTGCTCGAGTTGGCCTTAAGTTGCCAGTCATGCTATCCACAACACGTGTAAGAACAGCAGGTTTCCCAGCCATATTACACTTGTAAAGGGCAGACTTTTGAAATAGAAATACCTACAGAAGTGGATGCAGTAGATTAACATCTATATATTCCCCAAAGCAGTCAGTCTTAGCTCTAACCAGTATCAGTATTAACTGAATGAAGACAAATGAAAACATGTAAGAGTCACAAGGGACAAAATAATCAAGTAACAGTTACTCTGCTTTAGTTCAAGAAAAATGTTGTAATACAAAAACAGGTTAGAAATAAAATAAGAATTAAAATTATAAGCAAACGTCAAACATTTGATCCTTGTGGGAACATATTGAACTATCAACTCAACTTAATTTGAAGTTGTTCAATGACGACTAGTTTTCATCGTTCTCACATTAAAGAACCAAAAGCATTAAGTTCATGTTGTTAAAATGAAATTTATAAAATCAATACTTCAAATCCTAAAGACGCAAAACAACAAATACAAAAGAACTTCAAAACTAAAACAAATAGTCAAACTGAATAAAAACTTGGAAAGCAACCTTCTCAGGAGGGAGATCAATGCCCAAATTTCCACGGGAAAGAATAATACCATCAGCCTCTTTAAGGATTTCATCGAAATGGGTCAATCCCTAGAAAATACAGATGAGGACATAATATCTGAGTCAGCATTGGCTGTAAGAATTACAGGGAAATAATAGTCTATCTAATACATCATTTAAGGTAACAAACTTACCTCAACGTTTTCAATCTTTGCAAAAATTTGAGTCTGACTGAGATCACCAAGCTTAGAAAGCAATTCACGTGCCTGCATTTCACATATTAAATTCTGTTAGTCAAAAGCTTGAAGCGGATTCAATATAAATGAGAAGTTAGAAATATGGAATGCACATTACCTCACGAACATCTTCTGCATGCCGAGTGTATGATAATGATAGAAAATCAATTTTGTTCTGAACTCCCCATGTGCTTATAACCTTAAAAAAATAACCGAGGAAAATTTAAGGAAGCAGCAACAAGGATAAATACTCCACGTGGAATTATGTGTAACTAATTACAAACGCAATATAACAGCAAAAATTACCTCCTTGTCTTTCTCAGATAGAGTAGGCAAATCAATATGAACTTGAGAGACATGCAGAGTAAACAACGCCCCTGCCAGTGTTGCCGAGTTCTTTATCACACAAACAACATCTTGTCCTTTGACTTCAGCAACCTGCAAAAGTTTCAGTCAAAATTGATTATGCATGCATAATTTCAAAGTTGCTAATTTTGTCCAGGGCCTTTGGCTGCAACTGTTTCGTGCTTGAAGTCATGCTTATTGAAGCAAAATAAATTAACACTTCCATGTCACAAAATCACTGTATACAGAAGTTAGAACCAATATTGATGCAGTTAACAAAATAATTAACTCATAAACTGAACCAGATAATTAAAGGAAAGACCCAAAGGAATACTAGAACCACAAAATTAAGAAGATATATGCAATAAATTTTGCCTTCTGCGATGAATTTTTGTTACCACCTACCTCTAGCCATGCAGAAGTTGTTTCACTTCCAGTGAACAAGTATTGACCAACAAATAATGTGTCTCCCTTCTTTACAGCCTGTAAATAACAAAAGTGAACTTGACACATTGAGGTTCAAATTAAGGGACGCATTGCGTAGAAAAGAAAATTAATGGGCATTACATATCATTCCAGCCACACAACCCAGGGCATTTACTCAGGAGAACAACTATTGACTTCAAGCATGCAAAAAGGTAAAAATCAAATCGTTTTAAGTTAACATTCTCACCGACAATAGAAGATACAGAGTATGTCATATCATATCACGACAAAAACACAAAAAGACGAGAATATCAATGAACCTTAGCTAATCCATCAAAATTAATGGGCAAAATCTCTGAATTGGCTTCTTGGCCCTGGTCTGGAGTTAGAACCACCAGGCCATCTGCCTGAAGCGAAATAGCTTTCTCGGTCTTGTTAACAACCTGCATCTCTGCACCCACTGTGTCTAGCATAACCTGATAAGGCAAAAGAATAGCAAAAGTCAATATATTTTCCATTGTATTTATTTTAATAAAGAATAAAGAAAACTACTAGAAAAAAAGATCCGATATGGTTCATGCAGTCAGAATATGCTTATTCTTGCTATCGAACAATGAAAAGCTAAAGACAATGGCTTCTTCTCTTCCTGCTCAATAAAACAAACAAGCCAAAGAATGACTGGTCGACCTGCTTTGAGTCACCTTTACCCCATCAACCAAGCCCAGTTGTAAGAGGGAAAGACAGGATATTATCTATCTAAAACATCTTAAAAAAAGGTCGAAGACTACTCACAGCACAAAGCTTCTTAGTACCCTTGATGGCAGCCTTCAAATTCTCCAGGGTTTCCTGGTGATACTCCGCATCGCCCCAAGAAAAGTCGAAACGAGCCACTACAAGAAACAATCGACAAGCCGTAAAAAATTTCACTCTGTTTGAAAGGCGAGAACAGGATGTTAGTCGCGCACCAATTGAGCTTTATACTATAAAGCTTCCTGGCTCTCACGCGCATAACTAGAACCAAACGAGAATCTTAATGATCATATAGTAACAAAAATGTGTCTTACCAGACATGCCAGCTTTGAGACAGCCAGAAATAGCATCTACTGATCGAGATTTAGGACCCAGTGTGCCAACAATTTTTGTCATTGCAGGAAAGAAACTCTGTAGAATTAAAGAAAATAATGAAAATACAGAAAAAGTGCGTACAAAAAATGAAAGCCGATGAGAAAATCAGCTCCAGAAAAGCCCGCCACGGATTCATCTTAGCTGAGATTCAACAAATACTGTCCAATTAGAAAAGCGGCAAATAGGAGCAAGAAGAGAGGGTAAAACTTACAGTTTTGGATGGCTCCAGAACGGAGGCCATCCTAATGGGTTCCTCGAGAAGCAGGTGAGAGGAATGCATGTTTGGCAGCGAAACAATAACCGGACACGGCGGAGAGGTGTGTAGAGAGGAAGAGGCCGGAGGAGAGGAGGCGTGCGTGAAGAGTCCGAACTCTGGTCGAATTGAGTTAAAAGGTTTGAGGTCTGAGGAATATGCCAGTGCCCCCGTCACTGGCTTCAATACTTTTCAATCTCCACCAAACCAAGTCCTAATTGTGGGCTTTGGGTTTTGACATGGATGGAAATGCGGTTTCCCTGCTAGTTTTATAGAAGATCCTAATTATAATTATAAGAATCAGCTAACTCATTAATTTGAAGAAATTAAAAAAATAAGTTGATTTAGTTATTTGTCCTAAATAGATGTTGTTTTTCCTAAAATATCCTTGCTAATCAAGTGTATTGACTAGAACTATCATTGTTATAAAGGCTACTTTGGAAAAAATGTATAAACATGAGAGGCAAAGTGGATTGGGGTCTTATATATAAGACCAAAATAAAAGTCAAATAGGGTCTTATATTAGAAATTGATGTACTCCTCCAGTCCTAATTATAAGACCCAATTGACTTATTTGAGGAGATTAAGGAAGTAAGTTAAGTTGGTTATTTATAATAAATAAGTGTTGTTATTCCTAAAATATCCTTGCTAATTAAGTATATTGGCTAAAACTATCATTATTAGAAGGATTATCTTGGAAAAAAATACATAAATATAAGAGAGAAAATGGATTGGGTCTTATAATTAGGACCAAATAAAAAGTCAAATTGGGTTTTATAATAAGAACCGGAGGAGTAGTATTTATTAGTATTATTTTTAATTTTCATTTCCAGTGCTCAATTTCAATATATATTTATTTTATATATTAACATAGATGATTTAAATCTTATATCTAGACATGTCATGAAACGTCAATTTTTTCAAATAAATAGTTTTCAATTGTTAAAATGTGACTCAAATAGCTGGATTTAAAAGCAAAACAGAGAAAACAACGAAAAAGAAAGATGCCGAATTGATGGAATCACATGGGAATTTGGATATTATGGAACTTTTATGAGAAAAATATATACTCCTCCGGTCCTTATTATAAGATCCAATTTGACTTTTTATTTGGTCCTAATTATAAGACCCAATCCATTTTCTCTCTTATATTTATGCATTTTTTTCCAAAATAATCCTTCTAATAATGATAGTTTTAGCCAATTTACTTAATTAGCAAGGATATTTTAGGAATAACAACACTTATTTATTATAAATAACCAACTTAATTTACTTCCTTAATCTCCTCAAATAAGTCAATTGGGTCTTATAATTAGGACCGGAGAAGTATTTCCAGATGAATCTGTTTCTTTTGGCGACTCAAAAAAAAAAAAGGAATTTGTTTCTTTTGGCTTAATTGTTAAACAGGTAAGATCACATTGTATCATATGTTGCTCAAAATACGTTGGCAAAGAAAAATATGTTGTTCAAAATAAAGAAACTGAAAGGGAGGCTGGGGTGGAGGCGTGGAGCGAACAGCGAAGCATAAGGGGACGGAGAAGCGGGAGGTGGGTAGGCACGTGCAGGGGTGTTGGCACGGCATTAGCTGCAAAAACCGTGAGCTGAGCACGGCCTGCCCCATGTATTGCAAGCCCCGTCCCATGCTGCGCCGTTCGCTTTTTCCCATTTTTTCCCCTTTTTTTCTCTTTGACCTTTCCTCAAACCAAGTACAATTTTCAACCTCCTCTCTGTGGGCTGTCAAACATGGAAAGTTACATGCCTACCTGTCTTTCACCACTTCCTGTTTCCGCTTTCTCACTCTCTTCTTTAATTTCACCCCGAACCGCAGGCCCTTATTAGCTCCAATTCGCTTGGATTGCGGTCTACTCTAATTTAATTCTAAAAGCCCATATACTCCACTGGGCTTTTACTTACATTTTCCTGGCCCAAATTCATCAATCCCAATTGGGTGCCTATCCTACACTAACCAAACCATCACATTTACTGTAACATACCTACATCTTTTTTTCTTTTTTTCTTTTCCTTTTACCGGGGTACTTTTTTTTTTTTTTTCGCTAGAAAAATCCTTATATGAGTTAATTAACATAAGTCCCACAAAATTTTTTTCCCAACAAGTCCAACAAAATTTGAATAAATCATAAACTTACAAATAACGCAATGTTTTATGATTTTGTAAAGTATTGATGTTGACATCTATGACATCTTTATAAGTTAATTTCACCAAATGCATTGGTAAAAATTTGTTAAGATATACCTTGTCAAATAAATTTTATTTTATTTTGAAATTAATAAGTTATATACATTATGATTTATCTTAAATTTTCTCCTGTGCGTGTGCAACACGAACACCACAGTAATTCCATCTTCTGGAGAGGTGGGAAAAAAAATGGCACGCTCTCGCGCGTGTGAACTGGTAGGCTGATGCGAGATCTGAGCTTCCAGTCACTTAACGGGACCGTCAGGGCGAATAGCAGATCCACTCACGGAAGAGCGCTCCGTGAATGTCTCCCCCACTGCGCCTCTGAACGTTGGATTCTCTCTCCCTAACGTCGTCGTTCACGATCCTTGACCTTAACCGTAACGTCCTCTCTTATGGCCTCCTGCGACGACGACGACTTCTCCCTCCTCAGTGACGATCATCACCAATCAAGCGCTGGCCCCCACCACCACCTTCACCAAACCTACGCACCGCATTCCTTCTCATCCGCCGTCACGCCTGTGCCGTCGGAACCGGTAGGTGACACCAGCGAAGTCTATGGATTTGATAACGAGGCCGACGACAACGACAAGCGAACTGATCGGGAGGAGGCCGGCGACGGTACGACGTCGTACGGATACAAAAGGCCCAAGCTTTCGAACGGCGGGGAGTATAGGAAGGATAGGGAGGAGTGGAGCGACGCCGCGATTGTTTGCCTGCTTGAGGCTTATACAGAGAAGTTCACTCAGCTGAATCGCGGGAACCTTAGAGGGAGGGATTGGGAGGAAGTGGCGTCAATAGTTAGTGAGCGGTGCGAAAATCAAACCAAGAGTGTGGAGCAATGCAAGAATAAAGTCGATAATTTGAAGAAGAGGTATAAGTTGGAAAGGCATAGGATGAGCAATGGCTGCATTTCAGCCAGTCATTGGCCTTGGTTCAAGCAGATGGAACAGATCGTTGGCAATTCGCTATCTACAAAGTATGTGCAGGATGAAGACAAGGGGATCGGTTCTGGGGGGAATTCGCCGAGACAACCGAAGAGGTACGATAAACTGATTTCTTGCTTGCTAGTGCCCAGTTGCGTGCGTATTTGTGATGCCTTGCCGTTGAGATTTCTTTCATGCTGACGTTTTCCCTGCGATGAGCCCTCTGTCCCAACGTTATCATAAGCATACCAATGACTTAAGCGGTAAAAATTTGGACTTCTCTTTTTTTGATACTAAAAGTTTGGACTTTTAGATACCAGTATGCGGAAGCTTATGTAGATTTAACAACGCTGAGCCAATGTGAACTGGCGATTTGTTTCGCTCCTCTTGTCTAGAAACCAGGCCACATGAAGGGTCCTTCATGGAGCGTCAAGCAGAACCAGCTGAAAAGTTCTGTTGCTATTATTTAGTCGGGTTACTTGCAGAATTTTCATCTTTCCCGTTTTGAGTGAATCCCATTTTTCAGAACTTTGTAAACAATATGATTAGAAACCATAATCTTTTGCCTTCCCAAATCCTGGGCAGAACTTCACTTGTCTGTATTATACATTTTCCATGCGGTCTAGTAGTTTGTTCGCGGTTGCCTCCCACCGTCTCTGAGTTGATTCAGCGAAAAGCGAATATTTTAGATATGGCAATAAAAAGCATCCTATTTAACTTACTTTTTCCTTTCCATTTACCTAAATAATCACACACGTTTGGTAATGCAACACTTTTGGGGGTTTTAAACGGGGCAACTTACGGAATGCATGACATATCGTTATTATATGTAGTAGGACGCTATGACTATTTCTGAAGTAGGATGACTTGTGATCTGGTTTTTCAAGGTCTGAGATCCAGTCCTTAAATTGCAGAAAAATGCATGATTTAATTATCCAAGGCAGGTAGAAGTTATATTCTGCTTGGTTAAGTTGCTTATCCTCATCCCACTTATTCTCATGACACCAAGTTCTTTAGGATCTCAAGATCTGTAAGGTGCTTCCTAGTTTCTCTTGTTGTTTTGATTGCTGCCAAGTGTGTATTCAATAGCAAATAAGTGATTCTGTGCCTGCTTGTATTTAACTGCTATTCATATCCATTGTAGTATTTATTTTCTGATTTGAGGACATATGTTATCTTTGTTGTGCCTGAATCTGCTAGTCTGCTTGGTCACTGTAATTACATAATCAACTTTGGGGTCTTTGATTTGGAAAGTTGAGAATATTTCGTGCTAAATTGATACTTTGCAGTGCAGCTTGTCATGGTTGGGAGAATCTTAGTCAATAACTTATTCAATTTTATTTTTGCCATATATGTTCTTTTCTTTTATTCTCTTGTTGATTGTGAATCTATAACTTTTTTAATATTGCTGATGCCCCCTCTTAATTTTTAGATATGGAGTCGCAATGTCCAGCAGTGGAGGTCAGCTGAATAGCTTGAAGTCAAAACCAATGTCAAATGTTAGATGGCGTAGGGTAGTCTTCAAAATTAGCGGAGCAGCTCTTACTGGATCTGCTACCTGCAATATTGACCCAAAGGTTTGTGGTTTTTCTAATTATATGTCCTCTACAAATGAAAATAATCGTTCTAATTGGCTATTCATATATGGAAATTGCCAAGCTTGACATCGCTAATTGACTCAACCTCTTAGCTAGTAATGATATAGTCTAAACATTCTCTTTGGATGCTGCTACTAAATTGATTTTGTTTGTTTTCTGTGTTAATTTTAATTGCCAGGTGGCCACGTTAATTTCAAAAGAAGTTGCCATAGCCTCTCGCAACGGTGTGGAGGTACTGTATTCTCTTGATGGTCCTTTGAATTCTGGGATGCCTGCTGTTCTTTTTCATTTAGCTGACAATTTCGTTTCTATATGATATCTCAGGTGGCCATTGTTGTTGGAGGTCGTAACTTTTTCTGTGGAGATGCATGGGTAACTGCCACTGGTTTAGAAAGATGTACTGCATACCAAGTTGGGTATGTTCTTTTCAAATTTACTCTGTAACATACCGTTTATTACATATCTTTGGCATCTATCAAGAAGACTATGACAAAGCACATTGCTATCAAGATGTAAGTCTCATTATGCTGTTCTATGCTAATTACTTGTTGTAATGACCAAGGACAACAAATAAGAAATTTTGGCTGCTGAGGGCTACATTAACAGCAGTTCTAGAGAACCTACCTTGTGTGGTTCATTGGAACGCCAAAGAACAAGATTTACTATGGGAAATTTGCGCACTGACAAGGAAACAAGTCACCAATAAGGACACTGCATTATGAAAAAAATATGAAGTATATATGTGCAATTTAATCACTTGCCATGTCTAATATAAATGTCAAAGAAACGTACCTTGTAGGTGTTTGTGCTTCATTTTTTGCTATAACTTTAAGGTTAGCTGATGGTTTTATACTAGCATATTCTTTCCGCCTTGCAAATAGGGTAATGTACAGACTGGTGCCTTCTTGGCCTTGAGCGCATCGGTTATCTTGCCATGAAAAGACCTGTTTTATGTGTATGATTCTGATATTTTCTAATAAGATAATTCACTGTAATTGTTCTTTGTTATAATGTCAATGGGATCTGAACTTGTGGGTTCTTGAACTTTTCCAGCATGATGGCTACTGTGATGAATTCTATATTACTCCAATCAACTCTAGAGAAGATGGGCGTTCAAACTCGTGTACAAACTACCATTGCCATGCATGAATTTGCTGAACCATACAATAGGCAGCGGGCCATTAGACATCTTGAGAAAGGCAGAGTTGTTATATTTGGCGGCATTGGTTTTGGCACTGGAAATTCACTCTTTTCAACTGATATAGCTGCAGCTCTTCGAGCTTCTGAGAGTATGCCATATTAGATTTTTTACATCTTTATTTTTCTGCGTCATCTCTCCTTCACTCCTCCACAAAGAAAGACAACACATGCATCTCTGCAATTTTTGTTAGCTTTAGCATAATTTCCTTTTAATCTGCAGTTAATGCGGAGGCTGTTCTCAAGGGTACTAATGTAGACGGTGTGTATGACTGCAACTCCCGGGATGGCAATTTCACCTTTGAGCACATTTCCTTCAGGGAGCTGGTTTCAAGAGGTGCCACCTCTATGGATATGACGGCACTGACATTCTGTGAGGAAAATGCTATTCCTGGTTAGTATGTTGCCCTTGATATTTTAAGGTTATCTTTTTGGTTTTGATGGATTGCCCTGGCTTACATTTTAGCAATTAAATTGAAGTTTTCAAGCACTCAAACCTCATTTTTAAGTAAGACAGCGGCCTTTTCTCTACTTACTGGGTTTCTTTTACAGTTGTGGTTTTTAATCTCCTGGAGCCTGGGAACATCTCAAAAGCCTTGTGCGGAGAACAAGTCGGTACACTAATTGACCAAACCGGATCCATGAGCTGATAATTTAACATATATTACTAGTTAAACTGGAGCAAATAATGTTGACTCGAGTGAAGCTGGTGAGGAGCCTATTAAAGAAATATATCACAATTGGACAGGTTGTGTGTGGTGAAGCTGTTGCAGAGTGGGTTGGAGGCAGCAGAAACATTGGCGACACCCTATTTATAGGTAGCATGGTTGACTGGTTGTAATAATATGTGCTTCTGTATAATAATAATAATAATACATGTGTATTTTTAAGTGGATCCTAGATGTTGTGTTATGGTATTATAGTAGTAATTACCCTGTTAGAATATGCGAGCATGAATTTGACTCGAATTCGGCCTACAAATGAGTTTATTATACTTCAGTTTAGTCCATTTTTCCTTTTATTCCAGTAGAAGATGAGCACATTGTAATGCCAACGGGTTTTAGAATGAAGGGGCGAGTCGTCGAAAGACGTGAAACCGAAACAAGTTTTCAGTAAACTCAACGTAAACGATTGTTCGGGTCCTGTAACATTGGAAAGCAATTCAAGGGCCACTGACGGGTAAAACTGGAATGGTACCGATTCTTTAGCATGAAAGTGAGCTGCTTCTAAGTTCTGAGAATGTAACCGTTTGAGCCATAGAATTAAGCAAGTTATGTCTTCCAGACCGATGCAAACGTCAAATATAGATTGTACAATTCAAGTAAATAATACTTATTCTAACCTGAAACACAAGATTATCAGATTTTTCTACACGCAACCCTTTAAGTACACAGCTGGCAAATTTTGGCAAAAGAACACATAAATTGACACAATTCGGAGGA